GCTGAGTGGAAGGCTCAGGGTAGGCCTTCTTGAAGAGGTGAGTTTTCAGCCTGTGCCGAAAGATGGGCAGCGACTCGGCTGTCCTGACGTCAGTGGGGAGTTCATTCCTCCGCTGTGGGGCCAGGACAGAAAACAACCGCGACCGGGTCGATCGGCCGCAGGGACCTCTGAGCCCCGAGGCAGCAGAGCGAAGTGGTCGGGCGGGGGTGTAGGGCTTGACCATGGCCTGGAGATAGGAAGGAGCTCTTCCTTAAAACACATCAGTAATTAAAAAAATGTAAGAAATTTAAAATTAAAAAACCAATGAATTGCTATGGTGCCTGTTACACATGTCCGTGAAAGCCCAGACCCAACATCATCAGCGGAAGTAACAACTCCGACAAAATCAGTCCGCCTTGTCCCGGGTAAGATGCCTAATCCTGACCAGAGGTGCCGGATTCATTTAAAAAGTCTGTGTGTGAGACACTGTATATTTAAAAACACTAGACACCTTTACCACTATACCTTCTCACCAAGCTGATCTGCTCAGTCGCTCAACCACACTCTCGTTATGCACTCATTACGCTACTCTTATAACAACGTAATATGTAAATATCTGGATTGCACTTAAACCCGATCTTGGCCATTTTCACAGGATAGTACTGCGAGCATCAAAGCTCGGCGTGGCTTGGCATTTTACACGTTGTTTTCTTCATTTACTCTCATTCGCAATTCGGGACAGGGGTGTAAATTGGGGGGCCGCTGCCCTTTTGAACCCCCTACATTTGGCCCCCTTCTGACCCAATATGTTTGGCAGGGGCATCCTCATCCGAGTCAAAAAAAAAATGTATCTGCACCTTTATTCCCGTTTACAATTATTTACATAATGTGTTAAAAAATGTACAAAAATGTAGCAAATGGAGACCTTATTTTGATGCAGCCAATCAAATGTGTCATTAAGCAGTAACGTCAGTGTTACATCATAGAAAGGCTGTTTGTCTGTCTGATAAGCACTTTTGAGGCAGACTGGCTCCTTAACTCACACTCACACCTTCACTCTATAGCTGCCTCCAAAACAAAACTGTTCATGATAATCTCGTAAGTGCAAGTGGAAATTCACCAGTGAGACATTACAAATCGTTCATGTTCTGTTCTCTAGCTTGAAACTTACTTAGTCATATTTTTTATTTGGCAATATTTAGGACAAATAGTACACTTGCTCACCCACAGAGAACATTTCTCTCCTTGAGATCTTTAAAAAAAATTACACTGTGGCATTTGCTCCTTTTTTCCAAAACAACATCCTTTGCTTACTGAGGTGTTCTTTTTCTATGACACAGTGGCTCTGGCACCGAGGAGCTTCAAAGAGCAAACACAGGCTGTTTGCTTAACTGCTTAACTGTTAGTCATGGATCAGGGCATTTGCAGTATACAATGATCCTTGGAGAAGCCCACAGTGTATTACTTTGGTCTTGGCCTCTTGTTGCTCTTTTTCCAACTTCCCGTGGGCAAGGTTGATTATTAATGGCCTTTTTATTTGTTGCCTGAAGACATGCAGGAGGTATGAAGACAGGTTTATAAGTATGTAATTGAGCAGCACTTTCTGATTATGTCATCTTTCTATTTTTAACATAATTACAACGGCAGTTCGATAAGGTACCATTTGGTATATCATTGTATTTTGCCCCTTTGGCTGAGACAGAAAGGTTGCTACGTTGGTGTCATGATAGTTTCCTCAGAGGTGGGTATTTGAACGCACTTGACCTCAGGATAGGCCTTATCAACAGATGGACAACTCCCTTCCGTTAATTCCAGGGCCATCTTAAAATCGAAGCCTTTGAAAGCAGGGCTTGCCTGGGTCAAGTAAAATGCCAAGTCAGGCTGATAAATCTAGCCACTCACTTTCTTAATCAGGCAAAGAATTAACACACATTGAGCTAATGAGGGAAGTAAGTAAGGCGTGAGCCATCTCACTTCTTTGTCATCTCTGTTGAGAGTTGCAGATGCGCAGAACTGACCTGGCATGTGCGAGTAAGCGTTTTAATTTCTGGAAACAGGAGTTTAGTTGGGTAAATTAGAGAAAGAGAATACGGGCGAAACTCCAGATTAATTTACTTAAATAAAGATTAAACATGACAATCAACTTTGGCGTGGGCGTAAACCACTGAAGATCACAAAGGCAACATCAACAAATTGACTTTCCAGAAGCGTGTACTATTAGTGAGTGGGTAGAATACATAGAATACAAGTGGCCCAATGTTAAGGGGTCAGATCTCTGTATTTGGTGGAAAAAGCTAGTGTGTAATGTTACACCAACAAAACTTTAGGAGCACAAAATACTTTCAACGCTGTCGTCTGTGTTCATGTTCAAAACGTCAAATATCTTAACAGACTAAGACTTTTGAGTTTTTTGAGTTTTAAACGGGGCTCTGCAAACTCAGTCCAGTGGTAGTCAACACGTTTAATGAATTGCAGCCGGTGGTTTGGTGTGCGGACCGTGTTAGCTGGTGACTCTCAGCCGAATGTGTCTGTTGTTGCATGTAGTGACGGAAAACATGTACAGAACATGTAGAGGTCCTCTTAAAAGCCTTCAATCAATTTGAATTACTCATCTGTGTTTATTCTCTACACCAACGATTTACTGAAGTTACTGCAAGCAACCACAGACTCATTCGGCTGAAAGTCGCCAGCCCTCTGAACCCAAAAACCAGCCGGCGGGATCGAAAAGCATGTTTTTCTTCAAACAAGCGCTAAAACTACACTGTTGAGCCTCATTATCAGAGTCAGAGTTTCATCTTTCCGACGGCCCTTGAACACAACAAAACATTGTTTGTTCTTTATATATTATACATATTAAGATGTAATTTTTGTATGAGATTGTTCGAGATGTTTTTATGTTTTATTTATTTGTAATGACTTGCCGCCTGTTGCTGCCTTTTTGCTACCAGGTCATCATTGTAAATGAGAACTGGTTCTCAAATGACTTGTTTGGTTAAATAGAGGTAGAATACAAACAAACAAACGCTTCAGTCAGAAGAAACAACCAAAACGAAGCTTAAAATTGGGATATTTGTTCAAAAACATTTTATTCTACATGTCTCATTTAAAATCAAACAGTTAAGTGACAATTCCCTGAAACTTGGACTGAACTGCAGACTGCTGAACACAATGAGGAGAGAGAGAAGAGGTCGTAAGTAGAGGTTGTAAAGACCTAAACTACCTGTATACAGCAGGTAGATTTTGGATAAACCGATTCTACTGTTTTCAGAGAAAGAAATTCAACTTGCGTTTTTTTCTTTTTATGATTTATGGTATTGTAACTGTGTTATATGGCACAAATGACATTTTTGAGTTCTCTGTACTTCTAGCCATGGTTGTACAGTTTACATAGAGGTGCAGGACAAGGCCACAGAGAGTAAAATATGACAGGTGCAAAAAACACCACGAAATTGCTTGGGGTCCCGAGTGGTGGCTAGTTAAACACCTGTTGCACTGAAACGGCTGCCATCCTGTTGGAATTGTGTAGAACTTGAGTATGCTGGAATATCAACCACCGAACACGCAGCAACAAATACTTTAATGCCGTTTTAATTTAATGTTTAAAGCGTGTCAACTCGTCCGGATGGCTGGGGCAAAATGGCACTTCAGTTGCAAACACACGTACACATAATTTGTTGTAAAGAAGGGTCTATAGGGGTATGTGAAAATTGACTAGACCAGGCAAGTGAAAAGAAAACATTAACGTTGAACCCTGCTTTGATATTCATCATACTGTTGTGTTTTTGCCTATTTGGGTGTACAATTTCCCAATTTACGAGGCACTGTACCAAGTATGTGCAAAGTAAAAGGCAACAAGTTACTGAGTTACAACACATTAACAGAATGAAGCCAGGCATACAGCATGTATGTATTTGCTGCCTTGGAGTGTAAACCTGGATTTTTGACCAGACATTGCGGAGCCGTACTTCTGCTTGGTTTCCCATTGAAGCCTCTGAAGATATCAGTACCTGCTCTGTACATACCTCTGTGGGTCCATTTATAAGTAACTCACTATCTGTGGCATTCATCACACACCTGAGACACCTAATACACACTGAGATAAAACCTTGATTATCTGTTAGGAAATCCGGCTTTTTACTGCAGATTATCTCTATAGTTAAGATAGTTACTGCATTGCTGTCTTTTTGCCCACTATACTCTGGATATACAATACTATTTTCTAACTGATCCCCAACAATGACCCTCTTTTATAGCTTGGACAGTTTTTAAGAGCTCTAATATTTGTTTTGGTCCACCCTCTCTATTGACGCATACCGCCAGACTTCAGGAATGCCGCAATAGACAGCACCTCCCACACAAAGTGTCTTTCTTATCACTCTTTCTCCACCTGTTCTTAAAGTGTGCGCTGCTATCTAGCTCACATACACTATAATATACTCGAGAAGACACTTCTTGAAGCTTGTTGTTATATCAGGTCACATTGTACTTCCAAGACAATGGATTGCATAAGTTGACACTCTTCATGGGTCATCTTTTCTCTTCTCTTTGCCAAGTGTGTGATGCTTAGCTTTGATTTGCAAAAGAAAATGACCTTGTCATCCTTTTATTGCACAATTGTCTGAACAGAACACATTATCCAATACCTTTGAAAGTTACTTGAGTAATCTCTTTACATGTTCAAAGCTAAATCTTTAATAATGAAACAGGGATTACCCTGTATAATGTTTCATTAGTTGTAGATTGCAGACTTTCCTTTTACCATTTGACTTTTCATCATTCATCAAAACTTTAGTAAATATGGCAAACAATTGCTGTATTGACAAACAAATTCACTCGTTAATAAGTATGAACCCTGACCTTCCCTATTTGTTGTAACTGTGTCAGCTGCTGACACTCTTGGAATATTCCTCCGCCACAGTCCAACCCCTTATTGTCTTCCTGTCCACCAGTCCTCGCTCTCCACCCACTGCTGAGGTTACCTGCTCAATGCTTAAAAACACACCTTCTGTTCTGAGTAGGACTCAGTAGGGCCCACACCTCTGTGTGCTAGCGGTCACATAAGCTGCGTTGCCAAACAGAGGCACCACAGTTACTGCTCATCGTTCATTCTTCAACTCGTCAAACAGAGAGAGTATTAGCGACGGGAGAGGAGCTGAGACGCTGCCGTTACAGGATCAGCCATGCTTGGAGGCATCCCCACAAATGTGTTGGTCACAGTGACTCTACTCTTTGTAACTCAGACAGGGACTCAGTGCAGGTGGGTGTCAAGATAATTCAGCTTTCAACTGTCAAACAAACTGTAGCCGATGCATTACTTGAAATATTGTGATACTGATGATATTCATTTCATAATGTGAATCTGGATTTTGATTTGTGTTAAAGTTTTGTTTTTAGGGCAATAAGATATGTTATCAATTATTGGCAAAAAATAAAAGGAATCATTGTTTTCCTATTTCAGGGCTGAAATTGACTTTTCATTAGTTACTTTACCAGATTGGAGGACAAATTCAGGTATGAAGTTTTACAATTATTAAGACTTGTAGATACTCCATAATCACTACAATTTCTTGAATAAAAATGTTTCACAACAACAAGGATTAAATAAAGAGACATACATGGACAAAGACACATGCATACTGTACAATACAATATTTAACCCATTATTTGTCCTTTCATAGAATATGTTACACAGTGTTTCTACGACAGACACAACCATCTGATTTGTGACTGGAACCAACGATCAGGTAGAGAAGATTACTGCAAAACATCACAGCGATTGATTTCATTCGTTACATCTGATAATAAAATTGAAAGCCAGATGTGTTCTTTTAAAGTCATCAAGATAGGTCAGAGTTCAGTTCAGATAGACTTTCCTTTGACACAAAGAGATAACTTGATTGTACTAAACTTTCATTTTGTCGGTCCATAGTTCTGTTTTAATCTACAGACAGGCTGTGACAGTGCCTCGCCACGTATCACAAACCGATCTGAGGCAGGCTAATAATGTTTTATAGTCTGGTGCTCTCCCAGGGGCAATCAAAGTAGAGGGCCTGCACTAAAGGCTTAAATTTAGCAGAAAACACTCTAAACGGCAATTTTGCATTTTTACGATGATTGCGCCACAACAGATGCGCTTCTTGTTTTACTGCAATAACAAAGACGAGGGAATGGTTTGCTATTTCTGATGTGATTAAAATTATGATGCAACATAAAAGCTCATTCATAACCTGCGTAGTTAAAAATGTATTTCACCGTTTATACTGTGTGATTTAAAAAGAAGTGGGGTGGTCATTGTCATTGAATTTGTACCGGAAGTGTTACATTGGACCTATTTAAAAAATGACTTTGGTCGCTTTTTATTATGTGGATGAAAGCATTTAGTGTTTTACATTGTCTTATTGTCCTTTTCACCTACAGACGATGGCGTAGGGACTGTTTTGGAGAGTGGCCCACTGAGGCTGGAAGGCGAGGCCTGTCTCGAGTTTTGGTACTTATCCCCAGCTGCAACTAATGGGACAGAACTTCGTGCTCTGCTGAAGAGCAGCGTTGGTCTGATAGAAATCTGGACCTTGCCTGCCCCCCCCAGGGATGCTTGGAGACAAGTGTTTGTTCCCTTGGACGTCATCGAATCAGGGACTCGGGTAAAATAGCCAACAACCACATATACCTATAATTAAACTGTATTGGGGAATTAACATATAACATTGTTTGTATTCAATTCGATAATCTGCTTTTACATCAGGTCGTAGTCGAAGCAGTGTCCATGGAGGGACAGTTCACATTCAACCAGATGGGTGTAAGGAGAGGCTCATGTGGTAAGTATTCTTTTGCTCTTTTTTTACGATATTAAGAACAATTCGTTCCATTAAATATCATTACTGTTGTGACACTTATCAGGGAAACTGCAAAATGTAATATTTCACAAAATCCTTTTTAAAGCTTAAATATGTAAAAAAAAAAGAAGTTGACAATTTTGCTAAGGCAGTAAGAATGTGTTTCACTCCTTTGATTGATAACGAATAATGGGTTTAATAACTGAGGTAATAGTTCATATATTAACACTAAACAATTAATCAGTGTTACCAATCAGCTATTAATAGCCATTCCTAAGTGATAGTTTACTCAGTCACATCCCCCACAGGACCCCAGTGTGAATCTGACACAGAGTTATGGACGGATGAGTCCACCCGCTGCCTCTGTCCTGGTGGCCAGCTCTCTTGCTTTCCCTCTCAGTGCCCTAAGGGCCAAATCTGCGGTCCAGAAATAGGAAGATCCAGTGGGATTTCCGCCTCTGGGACTTGCACTATACACAGTCACACAGACTGCAGCACCTTTGATGGAGAGATGCTCCGCTTCATGGCGCCCTGCACCTACACGCTGGCTAAGACCTGCTCAGCCCCTGAGGCCATGCCCATGTTCACTGTGGAAGTGGTCAATGAGCAGAACTGGAACTCATCTCTGCCGACTGTTCAGCAGGTCATTGTGGACATGGGGAACTTCAGAGTGTCCCTGCTGAAAAGGCAGACACACCGGGTTGTGGTGAGTCACTCTAAAAGGGGGATAGAAATTTAGGACAGCGATACTGTGATTCATTTCTGATGCCTGTAACATCTGCCAATACATTATATAAAAAATGATCCTCAACAGCTGAAATACCACGGCCTATTACAAAGGGAGGCTAGTTTTCTCTTGTGTTTATACAACAATAGTTCTGAACATAAACGTCCAAATAAGATATTTTTTTAGATTCTGCTATAAAAACTACAACCATGCTGCCTTTAACACATGTTTGACACTAGTTTATGTTCAGTTTACTCAGCTAAGCTGTTTATCCGATTGACATCCCACATGGAGTGTTGACGATGAGTATTTTTCATAGCTAAAGGAGACAGTATTTTTTGGTTTTTTAAAACGTACAGTATTACCATCCCCCTAAGAGTCATCATTACTAAAGTTCTGTCTGTACAACTTCAGTTTTGTGGCACCTTGCCTTAATGATGCAATGAGTGTTGAGCTACAATGTAATGAATGGAGGAGTTCCCATATCCGCCCATACTACAGAGAGTGCAGAGTTAAGTGGCATAATGTCCTGGACTTATCTGCCTTATCAGTTCCCAAAGATATAACTATCTCCAGAGTGCTGCGTTTGTGCAAACTGTCTTATACAGCCAGTAAGGATGTCTAAAACTGACACTGTTCTTCAGGTTAATGGGGTCTGGAAGAAGCTTCCACTGAGACTCGGCACTGTCAACATCAAGAGCAACCCCGCTGCTGTTGAACTGGGCACTAGTTTTGGTCTTTTGGTCTCATTCGACAACGCTGGTGCCGTCCATGTCAACCTGCCGTCCACTTACTCTGACAAAGTCTGTGGCTTGTGCGGAAACTATAACCACGTCAGGGGAGACGACTTCAGAAAGCCTGATGGAACGACTGCCCAAAATGCTACAGCTCTGGCTGAGAGCTGGCAGTCTGGGCAAGCCACCTCCTCCTGTGAAACCATTCTACTACCTCATCAGTGTGACCCACTGGAGAAGGCCGAGTATGCCAGTGAGCTGTACTGTGGAGGCCTCCTCTCTAGCACTGGGCCCTTTGCTGCCTGCCAATCAGTTCTGGGGGCAGAGAGCTACTTCAGGGGCTGTGTGGTCGGCATGTGCGCTACCCACGGTGACCGAGCGGTACTATGTGAGGCATTAGAGGTGTACGCTGATATCTGCCAGGAGGCTGGAATCTCCATACCCATATGGATGAACTCTACATTCTGCCGTATGTAGCTTTATTGCTTCCTGCTTTTATTTCTTTGCCCAATGTCATTAAAATATGGAAAATAGTGGCAAATGATGAATGTAATAATACAATTACAGGTAAGTTCATGCCCTCTGATCTTTCCACCCTTCTCTTGCACTCCTCTCAGCCCTACAGTGTGGTGAGAACAGCCACTATAACTCATGTGCCGATGGTTGTCCCGAGGTATGCTCCAGTTTGGATATAGTCGGTTCCTGTGGAAGCTGTGAGGAAAGATGCGAGTGTGACTCTGGCTTAAAGCTCAGTGGGGGAAAGTGTGTCCCAGCAGAGGACTGTGGGTGCTGGTATAATGGAAATCACTATGAGGTAAGTGAGTTCGATGATTTTATATTCACCTCTTCACTTCCACAGCGCTGGAATTTATTCACACAACTCCCTTTTGCCTGCAGAAAGGAGCAACATTCTCCAAGGGAGAGTGTGTGCAATGGTGTCAGTGCATGGGCAATAATGACATGCAATGCACCTCAATGCAATGCGCAGACAACGAGGTTTGCAAGGTCAAGGGTGGCGTGAAAGGCTGCTTCCCTTTCAAACCCGCTACCTGCAGCGTGTATGGTGATCCGCACTATATCACCTTTGACGGGATGGCATATGACTTTCAAGGGGGCTGCAGTTACACGCTGACTACCACGTGCTCAGCAGAAAGCTCAGTCCAGTTCACTGTGATTGGACACAACATGCACTCCGCCCTTCAGAACTTCACCCGATCCAAGCTTGAAGCTGTGGCTCTTCAGGTTGAGGATCTCTACCTCACCCTGAATCAGAGTGGAGAGGTCTATGTAAGCATGAAAACTCTTGTAGTTACACTACATATCAAACAATCCCACCTCTTTTATAGCATGTGAATCAGAGGCTGTTTTGCAAATGTGTTCCAGTTCATACAAATTAGTCACCAGACAGTGGTCCGGAGTGTTATTTTTCTGTATTATCTACTGTAATTTATTAATGACTGTGGTGACTGACTTTAATATTAGAACACCCATGTTTATAAGTGTCAGTTATTACTCTGTGTCGGGTCATTGGGCGAAGTAACTTGTTTAATGATTTTCCCCACTGGGGATTAATAAAGTTTTCTAATCTAATCTAATCTTTGTCGTTTGGGATTGTCCTCTTTTAAAGGTGAATGATAGCCCTGTCCGACTCCCCTATTCCACCAATGGTACATACGGCTCTGTATGGGTCTACCTGAAGAAAAACTATATTATCCTGGAGACAACCTTTGGCCTCAGAATGACGATCGATGCACGGAACAGACTCTTCCTTCAGGTGGATGAGCGCTACAAGTATGAACTGTGTGGGCTGTGTGGCACCTACTCTGAACGCCAGGACGATGACTTCATAGCACCAGGAGGCCAAAATGCTACTGGGCCATTTGAGTTTGGTGATAGCTGGAAGGTGCCAGGCAATAATGAGTAAGCTATTCTACTATAAAGGGTAACATTATACCTGCTAAACATCAGCATGTTAGCATTAGCAATATGAGCATACTGATGATAGCATTTAGCACAACCTGGTAGACCCAACATTTACTTTCATTTATGCATTTAAAACTGTTTAATCAATAAATAATTAGGTATTAATGCATGGATTACTACACATTAATAAACCTTATTATGTCTTATTCTGAAGTGAAACAATACATTCAAATGTCTAGATGTCTATTTCATTGTCTAAACTTTGTTCCTCCAGTTGTATTTCCCATCCAAATGATCCCAGACTCTGTGATTATGATGAGGAGAATGACGCCTACAATGAGTGTTACACCTTACTAGGGGACGCCTTCAGATCCTGCCATGAACTCATTCACCCAAACATCTACCTCAATAGTTGTGTGTTTGACTACTGTGCCACCAATGGTGACCAACACACCCTATGTGAATCTCTCAAGTCCTATGCAGCAGCATGCCAGGTTGCAGGAGTGGAGCTGCCCCACTGGCAGACAAACACAGCCTGTGGTGAGTGTTTGAGTCAGGCATGGGGATGATGATGATGATGACTGTGTGGTTACTCAGTAAATATGTGTGATATTTTGTTGCGACTAAATTGTTGGAATGTTTTTACAGAATAAAATGTGTTGATCTATTGGCACTAAAGGTCATAACATCTATTGCTGTAAAAACATCAAGTTTCTCACCAAAACTTTGGTTTTGCAAGAGTACATTTGAACACATCGTGATGGAGTTATAATCTACCTTTGCCCAATATTCCTTTCTTACTGAGTGTCTGATCAAGTTAGTTTTTTTAAGCTTTTTCTTCCACGGCTAATTTTTGGCTTGCAGTACAAACAAATTGCAAGCTTTATGTCTTCTTCACCCGCACATAAGAACTTCCACACCGACGACATCTTGTGTGGGTGTGTGTGACTGCGACATTACTCTCTGCGCCAACATCAAAGTGTCATGCGAATCAGCTGAAAACCATCCGGTTTCAATTGGCTTATGATCAATTGGTGCAACTCTAGCTGCTGTTTTTCATTGGTTGGATGATGACACATGCCCATTGCATCAATAAACTAGGCAACTGCCTAGAGCCCTGCCTGAGCCAATCATTGTTTTCTTTCTATGATTCGTCATTGGTATAAGTAGGGATGCTAATTTTCTTTGCTCCGCTTTTCTGTTTAACGAATAGCATTAATCGGTCAAAATTATTTTTAGCAGTTAACCGATTAACTATGAACATCCCTAGATATAAGCAAAGTTGTAGAAAGTACATGGTTATCTGATGGGGTTGCCTAACTCATAATATTTCCTAGGGTGCCAAAAAGGCTAAGGTGGTGAACTCATTTCCCTGTTTTTTTGTTTGTTTGTTTGTTTGTCTTTTTGTTTTGTCGTTGTCCCCATTTCAGCTGACCCCCCAACCACTGCAACTCTTCCAACACGTCCAACTCCTCCCTCTACAACATCAGATCAGACTCGTAAGGGCATTCAGGGTTGGAAAAGGTTTATCAGTAACTGGTTTGTATTATCAGTGGCATAATACAGCTCATAATACTTATCATTTCCATTGTGTTTATGTGATTTTTCATAGTCTGTCCCATAAACTGTGACTTTGAAACAAATCTGTGTGGGTGGGAGCAACTCGTACAGGACAGTTTTGATTGGAAAAGACATTCGGGACCCACTCCATCAAAATTAACTGGACCAAACCAAGACCACACCACTGGAGGTACACCCAATGTCAGGCCACACTATCACATCTGTTGTGTTGTTGCATCGACATTTCATCATTCATGTTTAATGTGCTATTTTTTCAACTTTCTCCAGCTGGTTTCTACATGTATATTGAGGGAAATAATGCATCCCATGGAGATTCATCTCGTCTGTGGAGCTCAATGTGCCATTATAATGGCCCACTCTGCCTGAATTTCTGGTACCATATGTATGGTTCAGCCACAGCCATGGCCCTTAATATCTACCTGCTGAAAGACAATAAAGCTACCAAGCTCTGGGTCATGATGAACAACCAGGGACCAGAATGGCAGGCAGGAATTGTTGACATTGAATTGTCTGGTCCATTCCAAGTACGTATGACACTATATAAAGACAATACATATAAAAGAGTATTTTATTCTATACAATGAAACTTTATACTTTATTACTACCTCTTCCAGATCATAGTTGAGGGAATTCGAGGATCTAATAATCTATCAGATGTGGCCATCGATGACATTTCCATCCACTTTGGCTCATGCTCAGGTACATTCACCTCTCACTAAAAAGAAGAACGAAACATTCTAAATTTGATTAATGATATAATAATACAATCCGATGGTGCAACTAAATCAATAAATCATGGCCATAACAGATATCTCATGGTTAAAACAACATCAATAATGACCACCTTTAGGTCGCTTCCCTGGCCTGATTAGTGGAACTGAGCCTCCTTCCACAGCTGTGGAAGTCCTCCCCTCACTCCCGAGTAAGTGCACAGGAAGCTATATTTTATGGGCCACTTGTTTCTCCATCAAAAAGCTGAAGTGTGGTTACAAATTAACATTTATGTCAAGTGACTAGTGCAATTTGTCATGGTAATTGAAGTTAAAGATTGTCTAAATTTTTAGGAAGTTGCACAACGGCCTCAACATTTAGTTCATGTTCGTTTTTTTGCAAATGTTTCCCTTTTAGTCTGCAAAATAGACTGTAGCTTCGACAGCAACCTTTGTAGCTGGAATCAGATGGTGACAGATGCTTTTGACTGGACATGGCACAGTGGTTCCACCTCAACCTTGATGACTGGGCCATCTGCTGGCCACACTGGTGGTAATATACTCTTTCTCTATGTAAAATTCTAAATGTGGAGGTAAGGAAAATCTGTCGAACAATATAAAGTGTATCGACAATTTGTTTCATTTCATTCCTGTTTTCTAGATGGTCACTATCTTTACATCGAGGCCAGCAGTGTGACACATGGAGACACAGCTCGTCTCATCAGCTCTGAGTGTTCTGACTCTGGACCTCAGTGTCTGCATTTCTGGTACCATATGTATGGCTCAGCAGATACAATGGGCCTCCATGTTTACCTGCTCCAGGACAGATTAGCTGAGGCTGTTTGGTGGAAGAGAAATGACCAAGGAAATATGTGGCACATGGCTCAGGTGGACATCACAACAACTGGGGCTTTCCAGGTCAGACACCTTCCACCAGGCGCTGATGATTAGATGATTTAAAGATCGTCAGTCAATTATGTTGTAATGGTAAAATATTAACTATAAGAGAGATCTTAACAAATATTTTCCCCCTAACTTAAGATCATCATGGAGGGGCGTAGAGGCTCCAACGAAGAGTCTGATGTGGCAATAGATGATGTAAAGCTTTATCGTGGCCGATGCTCTGGTAAGTACCACTAAACCCTAAAAAACATTATTTATCTTAAGGCTGTGTAGCTTGATAATGTTTCAAAAATGTGCAGGTAATAACCTTTGTTAAACTGTTGCAGATGTGAGTGGTGTTGTGACAACAGGTCCTCCTAAACCTGAAGGAAACACAACTCCTCCAATTGTCCCAGAGCCAACCACTGCAGCTCCACAGCCTCCTGTGGTCAATGTTACTGCTCAGCTCCCCGATACAGCTCAGCCCCCTGCAGCAAATGTCACCATACCTCCAACAGTGGAACCACAAACAGCCTTCATTAATGGGGAAAATGTTACTGAAGCTCCAGTTAATACACCACCACCACACTCAGGTGCAGTGCTAACCACAGCAGCACTTTTAGACAGCTGGTGTTGGGACCTTCACAGTTCATTTTATCTACATCCAGTTTTTGTGATTTCCAGTAATCTAATGTCTGACTTTTGTTCCCAGTATGCCAACTCAACTGCCATTTTGAACAGGATCTATGTCAGTGGAATCAACTTCTTACTGATGTTTTTGATTGGACAAGATATAGTGGTTCCACTCCTACTATGATGACTGGGCCTTGTTCAGATCACACCAAGGGAGGTAATTAAAGACATAATAAATAGAGAGGCCGAGCAAAGTTGGTGTAGAACTGTCAGCACACTCTTCGCCAGTTTGACATCCGCCACAGTCACACTTATATCTAGCAAAAAAATGATTGTTGGTTGTTGAAATAGTTCTTACTTGTCAAACCAGAATGGCAGACTCTCTGAACTGATGTACTGCATTTCATCAAGATAATATATTTCCTTTAGGATGTACCAGTAAAGTTGCTTATGGATTAAGTAATTTTCTGTCTTTCGGTGTTATAAAGACATTTGCATTGTCAACATTTAGCAACCAGTTTCAGCTGCAACATGACATGCCTTGAACTTTAACAGGGTTTCCACCAGAAAAGTTGTTCTCAGAGGAGTGGCTTGTCACTAAAATGCAAACGCTGGTCCACCTTAAAAGTCAACCCACCTTAAGTGCACCGAAGCTTAAGTTGTCGTAGGGCGCCGGGCTTGTAATACACTGGCAGAAACCTTGTATAACATTATCTAAGAAAACTTTAAAATATGCTGTACATTACTTTAACTTACCTACCTCTTATGTCCTTAACCAGATGGACACTATCTTTACATCGAAGCCAACAGCGCGTCAAATGGAGACACAGCTCGTCTCATCAGCTCTGAGTGTTCTGACTCTGGACCTCAGTGTCTGCAGTTCTGGTACCATATGTATGGCTCAGCAGATACAATGGGCCTCCATGTTTACCTGCTCCAGGACAGATTAGCTGAGGCTGTTTGGTGGAAGAGAAATGACCAAGGAAATATGTGGCACATGGCTCAGGTGGACATCACAACAACTGGGGCTTTCCAGGTGAAATGTTTTTCTGAACACGTCTAATGTTAGAAACTTGCAGAGCAAGTTAGTGTTAGTAAATTAGTATTCTACCTGCAACAGTAAATGAGTGTAATTGAACTTGAATGAATCAGTATGGTATAACAGGTATGCTGTGCTTTAGTAACATGTGTACTTCGTTTTAGATCATATTTGAGGGCCGAATAGGTTCCAACGATCAGTCCGATGTTGCCATTGATGATGTATCACTTCATCATGGGCACTGCACAGGTAACTCTGTCCTCCTACTGAAATTAAATTATGTTCACACACATCATAACTGAAAACATGACTGACTTGATTTTGAAACGTAGTCACAGACCTAGCTAAACCAACAATTCCTGTTCTCACAACCTTCAATCTAGTTGCAACAGTGGGTCCAGAGTTTCCTCCAGCGAACAGCTCAACTGCTACACAAACGTCAACTTCATCAAAACCTCAGCCAACACCGACAACTACCTTTACAGCAACATCAAATCCTGATCTCCCACCAACAAGGCCACAACCAATAACAATGACAATTGGACCCCAAACCACAGCTACACCTTACCCACCAACAACAGAGCACCCAGGAGTTGAACCTCCAGAGCAACCAGAACCAGAATTTAGAGAAAAACCTCAAATGACAGCAAGACCAGAACCAACATCTACATCTAATGAACCCCCAACCACAGAAAGCCATGAACCTACAGCTGGATCACAACCACCAACAACAGTTAGACCACAACCTCCAACTGAAACTCAGCCAGAGCTACAAACCACAGCTCAACCACAACCTCCAACCACAGTTAAACCCCAACCCACGACAGCTACCCCACAGCCCACAACAACAGCTGGACCACAACCTACAACATCCAATAAACCACATTCAACTACAGGTAGACCTCAGCCTACAACAGGTAGACCTCAGCCTACGACAACAGGTAGACCTCAGCCTACAACTACAGGTAGACCTCAGCCTAC